TCCCACAAACAGCCACATAGTGAACGGTCAATTTTATTGGGAGGAGGCAAAGTACTGCGGATGCTGGAAATCTGGTAGAAACACAGAAGTCGCTGGAAACACGCAGCAGGTCAGGCAGCATCCAATGAAGGAGGAAAATTAGTTAACGTTTCGGGTCTGACAAAATGTCATTGACCTGAAACATTAACTAATTTTCCTCTCTCCATGGATGCTGCCTGACCTGCTGCGTGTTCCCAGCGACTTCTGTGCTTATCAAGTGAAAGGCTTATAAGGATTATTCTAGATGGCGTAAAAATTCCGCCTTTGCATTTCTGATCTAAGGAAACATCTTTACTGTAGATTGGTGACTGTGTATTTTGTTAATACATCGTGGAGTCCTGTAGCTCAGTGGTTAGAGCACTCGCTTTGCAAGTGAGAGACCTGAGTTCAATTCCAGGCAGAGGGCGAAACCTCGGGCAAGTTTCCTTACTCCACACAGAGCCTAATAATAATCCCTCCAAAACCAAAAACAATACATTGGTCATTTTCAATCTACGCCCACAAATATACAGTCAATTCACTTTACAGTGTGTTCTGTGAAGCGCTTTGGGACGTCCTCCCGACGTGAAAAGCGCTATATCAAATGCAAGGATTATTATTATTATTATTATTATTATCTGGAGGGTTGTTGGCCAGGACACCAGAAGTAAACAGTCTTTTGGTTTATTTTGGAATAAGGTCATGGGACCTATTCCATATAACACGATTCTGCCGTGTTTTATGATGTAAACGTCATGATGTAAATTAGAAAGCGGTGGTGATCAAAGTATCCAAGGTCATTTATGGTTGAAATTGTCATTTCCTTTTCAGGTTTGATTGCAATCTCATGATGGCAAGCTCAAAACTGAAGTGAGATTCAACTGTGCCTAACTTGGGGACATTGTTCAACGGATGTATTGGTTTCCTTACCCAGCGATTAGGAGTGCCACACACTGAGGTGCTTTGTTCAACCCAATAAAAGGCCTGGAACACACCTGTTCTTACAAGTCTGCACCTACATGGCCAGTCTTACTCAAAGCTCTTGCAAATTCTTATTTTCAAACTGTTACGCTCTGCTTTACACTATTACCTCTGGTTCCCATTAAACGAATATCTCCAAGCAATATGCTGAGCTGCTTCTGGGCTGCCAGGGTTGGTGTTATCTGGGGGGCTTTTTTGGATAACCCTCTGTGGGAGAGTGTGAAGAACAGATTGAGCAGGAACAGTGGAAGGGAGCCCTGGGTTACCATACTCTGTCAGGGTATTCCAGGGGTTATTTTTAGAAGACCTGATGAGAGCTGTGGTCAAAATTGATCTGCAAGCTGGTCTCAAAATCATCAGAAGTCCATTTCTCGGTAGATTTCACACACGTCCTACTTCTATGCATTTGTGTTACTCTGTTGTGTGCGGTTTGTTTAGGTGTTTCTAATACACATGGAAAGTTCTTCCTGTGAATGTTTATTAGCAGAGTGACCCAGACTCAAACTCTTTCTTTTTTTTAGAAAAAGTACTTGCATAAATATTTTATTGCATTCCCATCTTTTAAACGGTAAGAGGTTTGGGTCTGATATATCCTCAGAAAGGGTGAAATGTTTTATAGCGGTCCTCTGCATTCCTTTTACTTACCAATTTCACAGCTCCCAAGGGTAGACGTCTCAGTTTTAAGTTTCACATGTGGTCAAACTGTGATGGGGGTGGTTAACTGAGTACAGAAGTTTGCAATTAAAAGTATTGAAGACTATCTGATCAAAACAACACATAAACCAGTGTGTCAGAAGTCAACTGTGTTTTACATGTGAAGCTCCAGATAAAATGTGCGTGCACAAGACATGTGAAGAATGAATGTAAAAATGAGAATTCCTATTGAATTTAATTATTCAGGCCGTGCTTTGCTTTGAGAGCTGTAATGAACTGAAATAATGGGCATCTATAAGAACAGCAGGGTGATGGGAGCCAGTCTTCAGATTATTTGGTTTATTACAAGCAATTTAATTTGCCCCTTGTTCTTGTCTCACAAAGTACAAGGAAATGTCAATCCTTAATGTTTTCAAACATGTTTGTAATCTGCTCTCGACTAATTCAAATGGTCCTTTTCAGTCATTTATTATATACATGCTACAAAGTGCCCATGCCTATCGTTATCAAAGCTTTGTAGCTCCACTAATTGCTACAGAACGCAAAGAGGGACCAGGAAAGGACAACTTATCTAATTATCTCTTGAGCAGTTTCAGAGATAATATTTCATAAAATGGTCAATCTCCACCCTCAGTTAGCACACTTGATAAGAGTGAATGTAGTAACATTTTATTTTATTGGTTTGTTAAGCTCTGTATCATTTCAGCCCAGCCTCAATATTGTACCTTTTCACCTGATTTCCTTGTACCCAAAAGTACAGCTATGACCTTGCCTGTATCTACCAACAGGATTTCATAAAGTATTGCTTATGTAGATACTAGATGAATATTGTGAGTTGCGTAAGGAATTTTACTACAATTCAATATTAACACATGGTCGTTAAGCCTTGTAATGCTCTGGAGTTTGTAAGCTTTGTAATGTATGATAGATTAGCCATGAATGGTAATGACATACGTATTTAACTAGTATGGCTCAGTAAGGTACTTGCTCTTAAAAGGGTTATGTGTTATGGACCTGTTACCATCAGTGCCATCCAGACTTTTTTTTATTTTAAAAGCTCTGATGTAATGCTACAATAATGAAGTGTTGAAACCATCAATTATACTCTCTGGCTTTATAACCTCCCCACAAAAAAGTATGAGGAATTCTAGAAATGGTAGAAGCCTTTCACCCCTTCTTGCATTGAAAACTGCTTTGACCTTTAGGGTGCTGACAATAGTAGTCTGACATCATGTAAAACAACCTTTAAATGTAAACCAGGTGCAGATAGTTTGCTGGCGTCTTGCGGCTGACATTCTGTCCACAGACTGGTGGACAGAAGTGCTGAGGTACCGAGTGTGACTCCATAGAGAGCACACAGCTAACCGGAGCTCAAAGGCACGCCTTCAAGTCCACGTCAATCCAAAACAGTTCCACTCCGCCTGCCAAGATAGTGGATTGTACGTTCAAAGGCTTCAAATTTATATCAACTCCTTTTGTAGGGAGCAAATCAGAGTTAAAGGGCAGGGAGAGGGGGGTGTGGGGTAGTGGATTGGATTTAGACAAAATATCTTTGCTGATCTCTTCAGCTATGTGTGCTATCAGTGACATTCAATGTAGGATCCTGTAAAAAAAATTCAATGCAATGGATCCGTTCAATAACTCTGTGTGGACATTTTTCTCCAAGCAACTAATATAAATGATTTCAGGCACAGTACGAGGTGAAATTTGCAGCATTTCATGACACCAGGAATGTATCATAATATACTGGTAATGTCAGCTCTGCAAAGTTTTATTGTAATTGAACTGGACGACCTGCATAAATAAGAGAAACCGTTTATAACGTCCTTCAATGTAGTGCTGCCTCTCTTACGAGGCGGGCAGTTAGTGGACCTCAATAATTTGCGACATCAAATCCAGTTCTTGTGAGAATAGCGTTAGCACTACAGTGCAGCTCTGTCTGCTTACCCGTAAAGCACTGACCCACTGAGAAAATTTCCCGGGTTGAAATTTTCAGAATCCCCAAAATATTGTTAGAGCAAAGGTCCTCTGTGCCTGACGCATAAATACATGGGCCATAGTTTCAGCTTTCCACTTGGAAAACTAGACAAAGTAAATGCACCCCCAGGAGCTCTAATTGTCATGAGTTTCTTCCAACAATTGATTTAGATTTTGTGCCATTTCAAAGACAAGTTTAACTATGAAATAATTCACGAGTTTGCGACTTTCTTACTGCGGTTCTAGAAGCTTGGATAAGCAGCAATACTTGGACACCATTAAAAAAAATCCTGATGTTTATTGAAGGAAAAGAAGTGAGATGTTCATCATTATCATACAAAGGAAACAAAACGTGTGATACTTCTTTCAGAAAATACACACAGATACCAAAAAGCACAGGATCAAATCCAGCTTAGGATACACTAAACACACAAATATTTTACTCAGCAAATAACAAAAGCAAAGACAAAGAACACAGGACTATAGAAAGTGACATTCAATTTTAAAATGTGCTAAATATTAGCGTAAAACAGACCGCACTGTTAATAGACTCCAGTACTTTAGATTATCATCGCATTTTGCATTTGGTTAGAAATTCTGCACAACATGAAGGTAACTTACTGGGTCATCAAAACAACTGCCAAAACAGTGCAAATACTGAAGCTTTCAAAGTTAAAGTAGATTTTACCGAATTTGAAAACAAAACTGACAGCAATGAAGTCAAACTCACTGAAGGGCTTTTGTTTTTAAATGCTCCGAGACACTGCCCTGCGTGAAGGGCGCTATATAAATGCACGTTGTTTTCCCTAATTGCACACTTGTTTGCGAGTGCATGTAGGCTGTACTGTTACATGGATTGCACAGATAATGCATTGAATGATAAATGGCCAGAAAACTATCAACTACATACAAGGCTAAGCACCTTTGGAGTTGTGCACTATTTTCAGCGCCAGGTATAAGTTTACAATATGAAATCTTGCAGAGGGTACCAACTGCACAAATGATCCTTGATGACTGATAACGGTGTGCAAATTCAAATCACTGTCAAACCTTCGTGTTAGGTTTCTGTAGATACTTTAGGGCTGGTAGTTAAACTGAATCAACATATGCTGCTATCCCTCCCTAAACATAATCACCAGCTTTCAAGTGCAACATTTCAAGATAAATGTTAATCCCTGCCAATGTGGAGATTCGAGAGGTAGATAAGGTGGTAAAACAAACATAAGAACATAAGAATTTGCTGGCGAAAGAAGATCCGATGTCCCTCTAGTTCACCTTCCACCATCCCGGTAACTGCTTGACATGTCGTGTCCCGAACTATATACTGTATCCCCAGATATTATTTTCTAGCAGCAATCTATCGAATTTGTTCTTGAAACAGTCGACACTTTCTGCTTCCACCATCTCCCTAGGGAGCCTGTTCCATAAGTTTACTACTCGGTCACTGAAGTAGGATCCGCAGATTTTGTTCTGAATTTACCCCCCCTTCAATCGCAAACCTAGAAACAATTTGAGATACACCAGGGTACAATTATTTCAGGGTTGTGAAAGGCAATTTCATGCCAGGACATCAAACTAACAGCTTGATTCTGGAATTGGAGGCCTAAGGAGGAGTTCAAATAAACCGAAGGGCCTTCTTCATCCAAAGTTGTCTTGTAAAAGGATGATGACACCACTGGCCATGTGCACTAAGTCAGAGACACGTATTCACACCACACCCATAACATGCATTCAGCTAGTGTGTTAAGCTTTACAATAGGCGCTTGATAAAGCTGGATCGTGCAAAAAAAAAGGTTATTCACCAACAGTATATTTTTTAACAAAGTGTGTACAATATTGAAATGGTGAAAACATCCTTCCTTATATGTATTTTCACACGATAGATCACAAAAATAGCAATAACATAATGCTGTTCTTTAAAGTTAACTGTTCAGGACAAATATTTGGAGGTGGCGAGATTGGCAATCAAGTTGCACTTTGAGTACAGTGCCGTAAACAGATCTCACTTTATGTAGACCCTCATCATGGAAACATTTTCCACAATGAGATCCAAGTGGCAGAGCAACCTGCCAATTAATAACATTTCTATGAAACATCCCAGCTGGTCTCTGACTTTATTCATTCCTTTTCTCAGTGGGAACGCTCGCAATGTGGCAGAGTCCCAGACCAGCTGAACTCATAAGCACACCTTACTTTTAATCTGGCACCAATTGTGCTGGACATTCACATCTACGTTTTTGGTCCTTTAATTGGCACTAATTCTATTAACATTCGATCTGCTGACACTCAAAGCAGAAGTTACCATGTTGTGCTAATTTGTTGCTTGCAGTCATGACACGGTTTCCAAGGAACTTGAAATAAGTGCTAGGTTGCAATTACCATAGTGATTTCAATGCATAAACTGACGATTTCCTGAGAGGTTTTGATTTTGGTCATTTATCAATGTGCGACTTCTCCTCAGTGGTCTGAATCAGCTGTGAGGTAATCTCTGTTCGCTCTGTACCCAGTTTAGAATGATTACAGGCAAACTAAGCACACCAAGGCAGGAGCCGAGAATAATCAAACCGAGAGCCTGTCAAAACAAGAATAGACAATTAGTCTGAGACAATGCGAGCGAGGGGATTCACAAATACAAACAGGTTGATTTTTTATCGGAAATCTCATTCATTTTGCCCTTGTTTCAATTCAAGATTTATGTTACAGGTCCTTTTGGTGTTAAGGATGTAGGCTGACACTGGTGCAACAATTTGCATTTATATAGCATCCCATAACAGGGTCCGACTCTGAGCAAAGGAGAAGGGGAGGAGAGAGCAAACACAAGTACGGTTAAAGACGTGGGTATTAAGGAAGGATTAAAAGACAGATCAAGAGGGGGAGAGATTGAGGGGTAGAGGAAGCAAAGAAACCTCCAGGTAGAATCATATGTATAGGCGGTTTACATGTAACCACAGAGCCACACTATAGTTGTGCTGTCAACGTGCCCAATACTACACGCATGCGAGCAGGAGAAGCTGTGAAATCTTTAATGCCATCTCATTTGTGTGGTACCAGTTACCATAAGAGATGAAGGTCCTTTAGTCCATTAGATTTCATCCATCCAGAATACCCACCCTACCATCTTCCTGTCACAGTAACAAGATAAATTTTAAATCCGTTAGCTGTTCTGAGTACGACAACTCCACCAAACTCATGGGACAGAGACAGATTACAGAGGGAAACTGTTGAAGAAATAACACAGGGCTGTGATGTGTATATACACCAGACTTGACAGTAAATCCTATGGGCACTAAGAGATGCCCTTCTGATGTCGGGAGGCACAAAGGCAAGAATTAATCATGTATTATTACATGTATAGATGATATAGATTTATACATATAGGATGTGGGAAAGAATTTATTTTTCCTCTCTAGGTGAGGAGGGGCAGGATGATTCAATGCTGAGGACTGAAAACTTTCCGCATGAGTTGTGTGCGTTCAGTTATTACCTGTGGGACTTGAGGAGCGAGCAAGAGTGAAAGCAATGACTGGTAACTAAAGAAACATGTGCTTCGTAACATTCACATATGGTTATAAAGTGCACTCAAAAAACAGCCAAACTGGAATTCAAAAGATGTTATGCTAAATGTTTTCAAGCATGTACTTAGTGCTTGAATATTTAATTGCAATAGTTGGAGAATTATGTCAGTAATCACAATAAAGAACCTTAGTAATTTGACAAAAATAAGGTAAAGAATTCATCAACAAATGTCTGTCTTGCACTGCAGTTTTGGAAGAAGAAATGTTTTCACATTTTGCAACCAATGACTGTGTTAACATATGGGTTAATTACAGGGTAAAGCTGCCCCATCGCCGCCAAAATAGAGTGTTTAAACCTGAATTTTAGAAATGTTTCTCTCCCTCAAACCCCTCCCTGTGCCAATGAGGCATTCCCATAGGGGAAAGAATGGGCTTAAATTCATGGCCTCAGAATTGAAGGACGCTGCCCATTCCCACTACCTGTAACCTTAACTGAAAATCCACCAACTTTGAAATGGTAGATTGACAATGCTTCACCAACACAGACACTGGTCAAAATAATCTGCTTTCCAATCCACTTCCTCAAGGAATCTGGCATCGGAAGTGGGAGGCAAGACCCTTTTTTTAAAAATAACAGTTGCAAAGGATTTGATGCCTAACATAAAATTGTCTAAAACTGGCCAGTGCAATTTCATAGTTGGTGAATGTGACAACTCCCTACTTTTAGCACCAATGTGCAGACTAGACAATTATATGATAGTTAAATATTTAAAGTTATTAAATACTGGAATCAAGCAATAATAATAATAATCCTTGCATTTGATAAAGCGCCTTATCATGACTTCGAAATGTCTCAAAGCGTTTCACAGAATATACTGTGAAGTGAATTGACTGTATATTTTGTGGGCAAAACCACAACAAAAAACTCACCCCCAGCTTCTGGACTGATTTGAAAGGTTCGGTGCTTATTCGCAGGTAAAAGAGCCCAGGGTAGATAAAGAGTAAACAAGATGAGGTAGTGGAGCCTAAGAGAAAGGACAAAATTCAGACAGTTAATGACAAACTAAAGTTAACTCACTGGTATAGACCCAAGCGAGTGAGTTTGTGCGCCAAAACACATTTGAGTTCAAACAATTAGAAACCTAGAAACCTAAATCCTACAATCAGAACACCTTTTTTATATTGTGAGTGCAGCGTGACATTTTGCCACAACCTTTGAAGATATAAGATAGTGGACTCAAATCCTTCTAAAACTATACTTTAAGAAGTTTGGAACAAAACTTTGAAAGAGAGGACTAATCGCCAATTTAGATTTCATACGAAAGATTCAGTGAGACACTCCTTCACACTGGAGCACAAATAGAAACATCAGCGACTGTGTGAGCAGGAAATTGCAATGAGTTGAGAAAAAAGGCTTTCGCGCTTGTTAACCTCACGACCAATCCTTCAGCAGTCACTTGCGCTTCGAGTGAAATGGGAGCAAAGGCCAGGCCGATGCCTCCCCACAAAGATTCTTCCAGCACACACATCCCACAAAGTTCCTGGCATTCATCATTCACACGCTGCAAGATCATAGGTGCCACCCAACAGAATGCGTCAATTCTCCACATCTGCTGCGTTACATTTCGGAGCCAAGAGGTGATCAATCTGTTCGCGTGAGCTTAAAGGAAAAAGTCATTTATAGCTTGGTTTACATCTTTTCACAGCTCAGGCTTTGTATATTATTATCGCGGTCGCTTTGCTCATTAATGAGAGATAATAATCAGAAATCGACTACGTACCGACTACGCCAAAAATATTCTGGATGTTTGGCATGTAAATCGCCAGCAGCACGATGGCAGTGAGGTTAGCCAGCGTGACAGATGTGTGCCGGAGCCACGAGAAGGGACTGTTTGGAAAGAACAGCAGCATAAAAGACTTCCTTGCCTGTCAGAGAATGAAACGCCAAATGAAAGTGCAATCCTAAATACTTCCTTTCGAATACTACATTTCAGAGTCGTAGATGGAATGAACGGGGAGAACTGCAGATTCTAAAATGACAGCCTTACACGGGTTCGAAATTAGCACAAAACTTCTGACAACCTTATAAAAAGACTTGCATGCAAGGGCAGCCCCATCTCCAAGGGTGCAGTGGATCGAGCTGCTGCTTACAGACCAGAAGTTCACTAGTTCCAATGCTGAGTTTGCTGGTCTCGGTGTTTGCTGACAATGGGGAGGCTCTCCATCAAAGCTCTCCTTAAGACACATCTTTCCCTGGGAAACTCTCCTCTTGCCTCAGCCGAAACGCACTATATAAATATGAATTGTTGCTGTTATGAAAGCGATGGTGGAAATCTAGGTATCACTAGGGACTGAGGACAGGTTGGTTCAGGAGGATTCAAGCTGTCCGGCAGCTTGTTCAGCAACAAAGAGAAGCACTTCTCATTAAGGAATGTACAGGAACAATCATATCTATGTCAGGACTTACTGGGAAATGTATCAGAGGCACAGCCAGAAGCACAGACAACAGCATGCAGACTCTGACGGACATGATAACAGGATCCTGTGGCATGTACTGGCTGTAGCTGTGCAGCAACTCAGAATCCACTTTGTCTGGAAAACAAAGAGACAGAACCCGATTCCTTCAAAACTCAATGAAAGATTATTAAACCTCTGTCCAATAATAATAATTCTTACATTTATTATAGTGCTTTATCACATCGTCAAGATGTCTCAAAGAGCTTCAAAGGATATATCGTAAAGTGGATTTTACTTTAAATTTTTTAGGCGAAATGCAGCAGCCAATTTGAGCACAGCAAACAGCCTGAAGTGAATGAGCAATTCTAGTTGGGGGTTTGTAGGTCAGAACACCGGGAGAAACTCCCTTCTCTTTTCGAATAGCACCATGGGATCTTTAACATCTACCTGAACAGATAGACAAGACCTCAGTTTAACGTCTCCTCTGAAGGATGGTACCTTCTACAATGTAACACCCACCCCAGCACTGCATTGGAGTGTTAGCTTGGACTATGTGAGTTCAAGTCTTGAAGTGGGATTTGAACCCACAATCTGCCTCTGACTCAGAGGCAAGAGAGGTACCACTGAGCCAGGTTGACAGTTTGCAATTCATAGAAAAAGCATGGACCCGCCACCCCACCCCCACACACACATAAATTAAAATTATGCTATACTTACCATAAAAGGTTAAATACCCAAATAAGGCAGACAGTAGGTACACGGCAAAGCTCAGAGAAATTCCTGTGTTGACTGCTTTTTGCATCCTGCTCTTTGAAGGCCTGTTGAAAGAAATCTAGTTGAACAGGAGAGTATGCGGTTGGTTACAAGATGTGCCAGTCTTTAAGCAGAATCCGTTGTAGTTTACAAATCAAGGCTCTCCGAGCTTATAAGCAAAGTACAAGTGGCAACACTTTAATGTGTACAAGCTGCTTTAGGTTTAATCTTCTCCCCTAGTTTGGCTGCAAAATTTGCTTTCTTTTTATAACACACCGTAGCTGTGATCAAGGAGAAGGATATCAATGCTGGAAAGGGTCGTTTTGCTGCAAATATTGGCAGCCTGTATCAAGCACTCACTGATCAGTTACAGCAGAGCATAAATGTAGAGCAGAACTTCTCTTTAGCCCCAACCTTAGAAGATCAGTCATGGTTCTCTCCCCCCCACACCCCAATTCTCCAGGTCAGAAAATTCCACCCAGCCTGAAAGACCATTCTGTCTTAAAACGTAAGACTGTGCAGAGTTGTGAAAGATTGTTAAATCCAGTCTTTGTTTGTAAGCAGATTTTCACAGTAATAATAATAATAATCCTTGCATTTGATACAGCACCTTATCACGTCTTCGAGACGTCTCAAAACTCTTAATAGAATATACTCTAAAGTGAATTGATTGTATATTCTGTGGGCGAAACGCAGCAGCCAAATGCGCTTAGCAGTGTCCCACAAACAGTCGTAGATTGAGTGACCAAATTATTATTAATTCATTTATTTTTTAAGGGAAAAAAAATCATGGGTCAGTAGTCCTTAAAGGGGAAACGTGTTGCAGATTAGTGCATGGAGTTTCCTAAACTCACCTTTGCAGCTCGCAGTAGATGGGCAAGACAGAAGTGTGGCACAGAAATGAAAAGGCCATGGTTGGAATTGCGTACACACTCTGCAGGAACAGGATGGGTTTACAGCGTTAGAATTCTAAGGCAAATTTGTTTTACGGCCAGATTTTGTTACAGAAGAGCCATTGAGAACTTTTAACCTCATCAACTGCACATCTTCTGACGTTAGCGTTAGGCATCTTGCCATCAGATGTGAGCAGGAACACAAGGCTGAGTCAACTCACATCACATACTAATAAATAATAATACTTGCATGATATGTGCCTCATATTATTTTAAGCGTTAGAAAAATGGTTGCATTTCAGTGACACAAAGTCAAGTGCTGACAGAGGTGGAGTGCCATTTTGATAAAAAGGAGCCAATTTTAATGAGTTGTGTGCATATATAAAAAAAACCAGCCCATTTTATCCTTTACAGACACTTCTTATTCTGTGGTATTCAACAGGTCGCAATGTCAAACGAATATTGCTCTGTCAGTGGATAGTCAATAGGTACATTCATTCATACAGGAAATTGCTTTCACCCACCTCCCTTTTCTTTTTTTAAAAAAAACTTCAGACTTTAATCACCCACACCCACGAAACAATGGGTTACTTCATTAAAAGAATCAAGGTGGAATTAAATCACATTTCACTTGGAAATGGTGCAACTCAAAGTGATTTACAGATCCAACTTGTGTTTAGTTTAATATCAGTAGTTTTAGATCCATTTAAGTCATGTGCCCCAGAAACACGGAGAGCGTTAGCATTAGAAGTTTAGTAAAATGCATGACTGGATTGAAAACAAGAGATCCACTGGGAGATTTTGTTAATTACAAATAATATAGTTATTTTTATATACATATATATATTAATCCTTGCATTTATGTCGCGCCTCATCATGCCCTTGAGATATCTCAAAGCACTTCACAGAATATACTGTAAAGCGAATTGACTGTTTTGTGGGCGAAAATCAAAAAAGTACGGTAATAATAATAATAATAATCCTTGCATTTGATATAGCGCTTTTCACGTCGGGAGGACGTCCCAAAGCGCTTCACAGAACACACTGTAAAGTGAATTGACTGTATATTTGTGGGCGAACGCGGCAACCAATTGCGCACAGCAATGTCCCACAAACAGTCGTAGATTGAAAATGACCAATTTATTATTGTTTTTTTTGGTTTTGGAGGGATTATTATTAGGCTCTGTGTGGAGTAAGGAAACTTGCCCAAGGTTTCGCCCTCTGCCTGGAATTGAACTCAGGTCTCTCGCTTGCAAAGCGAGTGCTCTAACCACTGAGCTACAGGACTCCAATGAAGGTTGAGGTGAGAGAGGCGGTGAAGGAGGATAGAGTGATCAAGGAGGATGAGGAGATAGAATATCATTAGTGACTTTGACCAAAGTTGTTTCTGTGCTGTGGGTGGAAATCCGATTGGAGGGTTTGTGAGGAGAGGAAGGAGCGAAGCATCAATTTGTTCAATTATGGGAAATTATGGGAGTCCTGTAGCTCAGTGGTTAGAGCACTCGCTTTGCAAGTGAGAGACCTGAGTTCAATTCCAGGCAGGTCAGGGCGAAACCTTGGGCAAGTTTCCTTACTCCACACAGAGCCTAATAATAATCCCTCCAAAACAAAGCAATAATAAATTGGTCATTTTCAATCCACGACTGTTTGTGGGACATCGCTGTGCGCAATTGGCTGCCGCGTTCGCCCACAAATATACAGTCAATTCACTTTACAGTCTATTCTGTGAAGCGCTTTGAGACGTCTAGAAGACGTGAAAAGCGCTATATCAAATGCAAGGATTAATATTATTATTATTTCCATCACGACTTCCACGATAGCTGATTAATATCAACTTTTAAAAAATCATAATGGTCATAGAATGATTATGACTTCAGTCCTGCTGTCAAGATATTACTGCACCGATGTTCATGCATTCCCTGGACATGTCTATAAGTTCACTCAGTGGCGAGCAGGAGTGCCATTAGCATTCATACATCACTCAAGTTGGATTCCCCATGGGTCAATTTCTTTAGAAGTGACCGTCACAGCCCATTTCATTGAAAGCCCAAAATTCATTGCTTACGGCGCTACAACTAATTAATGGCAGGTCTCTCTGGACAATGGTGCTTTATCGATTGTCTTGAAATCTAGTTGCTGCTTTAAGCAAATTGTGATGATGGGGAAGCCTCAAGATTTTTGTTAATTGCAATATTTTCATATCTAATGTGTTGCACCAAATTCACACTCTGCGGGGAGAAAAAGAGTTATTATCTTGCTGTAAGTTTCATTCTATACATACTGTTAGAAGTGGTTGGAGTGCAAACCTTGTAGGAAATATCCAAAAGCTTTGGTTTACATTCATCAGTGGAGTTAGTGTTCTAAACAGAAATAAAAAAAATCAAGAGAGGTAGTTAGTTAGCAGCCTATCAGACCTCTACATTGGTAATGACCCGTATACTGCCAGCCCAGGAAAGATCAACTATCAGGACAGACCAGGAACTGAACTGGTGGAATTTCCTGAAGTTAACTATTAGTTTATCTACTGGAACTCAATATGATTCAAATAGAAATTTGTTAATGGTCTAAATTTATAATCGAAAGAAACACACTTTCTAGTCTTGAACATCATACAATAGAAACAATTCATAGCACTGGAGCATATTAAGATATTAATTATATTAATGTAATCACATTCACAGATACGGTTTGTTCAGGGGAATTTGTTCCTCTTCATGGGAATGTTCGGTTGCAGGTTTTAATACATTTTCCTGATGATGATGATAATAAGGGAAGGATTTGTTGTTGGTCAATGATATCTGTCACTTGTGAAAACCCACCACCTCGCTGAAGAGTATCCAACCCAGATCTCTACATATGCCACCTCCACATAGAAATTTCCTTGTATCTGGAGTGGAATGTGCACTCTCTTCCTAGAGGCACACACCCTGCCTCCCTAATTCCGGAGAGTATTACATACAGGGTGGTGAGACCCAAAGTCATGGAGAAGTGCTCCGGAATATTGTCCTAGGTGGAGCGTGAAATAAATGCAAGTTGTTGTTGTATAATGGTCTCGACAAAGGGTATATTTACCTGAATAAAGTCGACGGTACCATTAACTGGAAGTGGGCAAGGGATCATCCACTTTTTAACGATAATCTGAAAAATACAAGAAAGAAGGATAACACTTCATTTCAGCACAGACCCAGATACCAAGTTTATGTCGGCAAGCTTATGTTGCGGGTGGTTTTGTGAACAGCAATGGGGAGGCGAGAACTGAACCAGGCAATCAAGCAAACGAACAATGGAGCCCACCACAGCCCAGTCTGAATCCTCTCCTAACCAGACGATCACACAAGCTGACAAGAGCAGCATTTGAGTCCTTTCTCTGTGATCCGAGACCAATTGGTTACTCCACAACTCACTTGCTGACTGAGATTACCTTCTTGGAGAATGGAAACTGGTTCACTTGTCTCAGGACTATGCTATGAAGTGCATTTGCACCATATGCCATTCGGGTACTCCCTCTTAGAGGTTTTAACAGTTCTCACTTTAAAGTAAGATCAGGAGTAAAAAAAAAAGTAGTGTCAGAAGAACATTAAGAGATCCTCATTATGGTTATAACTGACAAGAACCCTCAAGATGACAGTTACTGTATTTAGAAGCAAAATAATATAAACGGGTTGCAAACAGTACATTCAGAGTGGCATACAAGTCAAAGGCTTCCATCATAATAATTTTTCACTAATCCATTCGCCTAAAAAATACACAAGTCACTACACTTTATAGTAAATCCTGTGAATCGCTCCCTTAACTTGTCTATCCCACCCTCCCTCAATGCTTCATGGCAACATACTGCTCTGTAACCAGCTACCGGGATTGTTCACAACTGGCCTGGGAATCACTTGCTCTCCAATCTGTGCTCACTGTGGGGGGAAAGGGCTAAAAGACCCAACTCAGCAGTGTGCGTCTGTGTGTGCGTGGGGGGTTGGGAGGAAAGGGCAAAGAAAATCGCAAAGAACTACTCAGAAGTAATGCTGAAATACAATACTCTGTCACTCTGCCAGAAACAGAATTATTTCACAAAATAATTGCCAAAAGGCATCGCTTAAATAAATATAATATATATATATATATAAAAATTCATGAAAACACATTGCACCGGGGAGAAGGATCTTAGTGTAACTGTTCAAAAGGAATCCGGAAAATGAGAAATGAGAATTAACTGTTAATTCTGGCAAACCGTGAGTTACTGAGAGTTGTTGGGGGGTGGGGGAACCCAAGAGGATTTTATAGGGAAACATGCAAGAATTTTGTGTACCACTGGTCGAATCTCATTTAAATTATTAAAGCCATGAAGTATTCACAAGACACATGCATCCTAAATCTCACTGGGTTCTAGTGAAGGGGAGAGAGAGCGTGTATGCCTGTGGGTTAGGAGAATGCCCTTCGACCTCTGGGTTTTTCCTTTGAATCCAGTCAGACTACTTTTTTTTGCAAAAAGTTAATTAAAAACACAAAACTTGGGGCTCAGATTCGACGCACCATTTAACGCTGTCTCAAACGGTTCAGATTTCTTGATCAGTCCTGGCAGTGTATAACACATAAACGACCAGACTGAACCAGAAACATAAGGAACACCCACTCAACAGAAGGTACAATTACACAGAACCCTTTAGTCAATTGTGTTATGAAAAATGTCACCATTAAACAATAAAAAATATGCTGCAGAGGAGTATTCAATAACTTGTAAACCCCACACAGTTTTCACATCAATGCAACCGTAAGTCGATGAAGCAAGTTCAACAAAGTAACTACATTCTTCTCTGGGATCATTTTAGGTCCGGTGTTCAGCAAAACAAAAAGATGAAAGTCACAGGAGAATATCTGCCATTGGTAGATGATGTGAAAAACAGCAGTAAATAATCTTAAGAGCCAGGTAAACATGAGAAAAGTTCACAGGGCAAAAGGATTGAAAGATAACTAAATCTATTAAGATTTACCTCTTTGACAACACTTTATCATCTCCCCTCCCCTGTCCCCACTCTCTTCAGCTCTCTTACCCCCCCAATCCCCCACACACACCTTTGGGTAAAATGCTTTGAGACATCCTCCTTACATGAAAGGCATATAAATGCATATCAGTGTAAACAGTGATCATTCAATTCATGGGCGATCGAGGGACACTGCTCTACGCAAATCAGCTACCACGTTTGCCTAGAAAATACACAGTAAAATTCTGTAAAGCACTTTGACGCGAAAGGCACCATAGCTAATTCGAGCATTATTTTTCTCTGTTGGATCTTCTCAGCACAATATAGAGACGATGTGGAAGATTAATTCGGAGAGGCAAGCTGCAAATTTGAGAAAAACCTTAGCATGAGAACCCGAGCACGGATTTGATGATTATGTTGTCCTGTGGTGCCAACAGCATTAGCACATGACTGTCAGTTTCTCTGGACTGCGGATCTGTATTACGTTAGGTAACTGTCATGGTACATATTTTGCAGTAATGTTAAATTACCCACTGTAATACCAGTGTAAAATATGACAAATAAAGACCAGCTGCTCTATTGAATTTAATGAAAAAAGTCTACAATAAAAAAAACGACATTGGCTGCAAATTCTCCACATCATCCAAACCCATAGTATGATCAGAGGCCATCTTTCCATGTTTTCTGTGACTTCCAAACTGCTGTCAGCCTGGCTCAGTCAGTAGCACTCTCTCTCACCTCCAAGTCAGAAGATTGTGTGTTCGAAACCCAAGTTGAGGCTTTGAGCTCGTAGTCTAAGCCAGTGGTGGCCAATCTTTTTGGTCGGCCAAGAAAATAAATGTTCTGGATTGAATATTTCTGATTTAATGCCATAAATCAAGACTTATTCAATCAAGGAAAACCTGGAAACATTACCAATCGAACACAGAATTATCTAGACTAATGCTTATCGATGTAGTTTGGCTGGCACTGGTCTAGGCCAACAGAAACATTTGATCATTCCCTTCATAGCTGTTTGTGGGACAATGCAAATTGGCTATTTACTGGCTTACAAAATACACTGCATTTTACACTGAATCTCAGGAAGCCCTTTGAGATGAAGCATTATATCAATATAAGGATTATTATTATTATTTTTCAACGGGTTTTTGACAGGTAGCAGAATATTTTTAAAAAACAAAATATCCTCCGGCTGACCAGTGACACAATGGAGATGTTCACCAAAGACACTGCAATTCATCTGGTCATTCTCAAAGTAAAAACATAATGAAACTGTTTACAGCGTATTAATCATTCAGAATATTTTGGTTTACAAAGATATGATTTAAGCGCTGAATTTAAAAACTTACCACAATAGCAAAGTAGACCATGAAAAAGATGGACAGACCACTTGCGTAACTAAGACATCCTTTTTTTAAAAAAAGAGAGAAAAAAATATATCAGAAAACTCTCCACTCCAAAGGTCCAACAACAGGGAAGAAAGAGATGTTAAATCGCATGATGGGCGGGCGGCAGTTTCAATGATGGCAATTTTTCCAGCATTCAATATGTCATGTCTCATGATGCGCTCAGAAGTAATCTCATTTTTGTCCCCATGAAACGATCAGTATGGCTCAATTGGCAGCACTTCCCTCCTTTGGCTCAGAGGTTGTAGGTTCAAGCCCCACACTAGATCCTGAGCTCAGAACCTCTGCTAACACTTCAGTACTGGGGGAATGTTGTGTTGTCAACCAGGTGTATGAGACACTACTATCCTCCTGATGTGAGGTGGTTCAGGTGGCTGTTAAAGATCTCAGGGATCTATTTATTTCAAAGAGCTCCTTGCGATAAGATGTTTATACATAATAATAAATTATCCTTGCATTTGATATAGCCCCTTATCACGACTTTGAGACGTCGAAAAGTGCTTCTCCGAATTTACTGTAAAGTGAATCGACCGTATATTTTGCGACAGAAACAGAATTGACAAACATGAGTCGCTATCTCAAATGCAGGTGTCTTTTGAAATAAAATATTGAGCACAGAAAAGATTTTAGTGAAAGCGTTGTTCTCTATAGCATTTCTAAATCTAACTCGTATTTGGTGCCAATATCTCCGACATGACTGAATTCTTCTCCCCCACCCATCCCTACCCCTCGGGAATCAATTTGATTAAATATATTTTAAAAATTACACATTGAAACATCTCCCGAACGGAGGGAGGTCACTATGTGTCAACAAGGGAATTTAGAGGTCTTTATATTTGATGAAACAAAAATAAAAGCTACCACAGGCCAGGCCAGCCCACCAGTGTCCTGCAGGGCAGAGCAATGAAGAGTAAGTTCAAAGTTTGGCGTATTCCTTGTAGTGGAATGAAACTACCATAAGCAGCAGGTCATAAATCAGACACATGCAGGGTCAAAGGAGGCTGAATTTTTTTTCATAAAACATTGCTCTTACTGACCAACCCCCCATCCTCTCTCCGCCCAAGCAACAAAATCCTTATTGGCCCCTTGAAGCCATTTGCAGGGTTAAAAAGCGAAGTAGTTTACAAAATAACTGTTCGATAAAGTGCACCTTGCAGTCACAAGTCATTTCACAACTTGGCATTGAAGTGCACATCAGTGCAATGTAAAAGAAAAATCTGAAATGCCACAGGTTCTTACCCTGTTAAGATCATACTGTTTTTTTTCCAGATTGCATCTCAAGACCTTCCTCTTCGAGAAATGGGTTTTTGCAAGCTAGAGATCATAAGGTACAGAATTCACAGCCGAGGAGAGGTCTGAATTCCTTAGCATAGTCAACCCTCTGTGAAGATGACACAATAGTGGAACTCACCTATTTTTGGAAGCATAGCAAGCGGAAGGACAATACAGAGAACGGTGATGATCAGAAGGATTTGTCCGTTGAGGTACCACGGTGTCCTGTTAAAATGTCAACATATAGTTACGCAACCGTGACATTCAAAAGGGGGACATAAAAGTCTAGAAAAAAATGTATGTTTGTACAAAGTATTAAGCAGATATAAAAATAATAATCCCGTCATTTGATACAGCATCTTTCACATCAGGAGCCCACCACAAAGTGCTTCACGGGATTTATTGTAAAATTGTACTGTAAAATTGTATTTATTGTAACTATTGTAAAATAGTGACTAATTTTGTAGGTGAACATAACAGAGGACAGTTATACAATAGACCACCTAGAGTGAGGAATTCTCACTTTAATACAATATCTGGAACTACCTACAGTCCTGTCCTGTGATGTCTGTAGAATTAAATAGTAAAGTTTCTTTGCACTCAGATTTTTGATCTGAAGTCAGCAAAATAAAACCGAAAGTCACAAGGTCTATCAATGTATATCTGTAGACACTGACGCTTATGATCAAGTCCGCATAGAGACACCTTAAGATCATGTCTGTTACGCATTTGTGCGCATACACACACACGTACACACACAACCATTGCTCTTCTCCAAGCACTTACCCGCTGTAATCAGAGTGTAGGAAGCCACCAATTGCAGCTGGAAGCTCAGACTTCACAATAAACAGATAGGAGGACATTGCTATAGGAAAGAAACCAAAAGTCAGACTAGCTTCTGAATATTTATTCTGCTCTGTTTCCTCCCTGTTGCCTTTTGATCTTTGCCAGGACAACACAGGGGCATGTAATTGGCTTTAGTGATCCTTGGTTTGTGGGGGTCGGGGTGGCAATACCCATTGAGATGTGTAGAATATGCCATAAATTAAATTTATTGGAATACACCACTTTGTCTGACATAAACATTTAAAAGCAGACAACCATGGTATGCAAAATCGAATACATGTGTTCCGTGCAACCTTGCCTCCCTCTTTTTTTTCTCAACAGGAACTAGCAACAGACGCATCAAGTATTTTTTGCAACAAATATGAAACGTCAGAAAATAGGCTTTCAGCACGGGTTTCAGGTGAGCTAATGGAAGGTATTCACTGTGCTGTCACTCAGTCAGGCTCAAAACCCTTATATATTTAGTAGCAGTTGCACAACTGTTGAACATCAAGTCAATGAAGTCGCTTTCCTGACCTTTGGGATTAAGGAATCTGATCTGGCCCAGTCTGGAGGTCACCTAAACATCATAATTACTTCCACTCAACTTCCTGCCAAAAGCACTGCGTGCCAGGAATGACTGCACTCCTTGTTGCCTTGGCTCGGCAAAAGGTTTTACAATGAAGGTCAAACAATGCCAGCCATTCTACAGGCTGGTTTTTATTTTTAAATGAAGTGCAACGTTCCTGTTTAAACTGTTTGCTAAGAGCATGCGAGGAGACGTTTGCGATCTGCAGAGTCAAGCACATCATTTTCAAATCAAGGTCAGCAGGTGGTCTGTGCTCTGTGTTGAGCACGGGGCTACCCTGCAGGTCTTATTTATTGTTGAGCAAAATTCCTCAAAGGCTCTATTTACACAAGTTCTGGAAAGAGCAGAGCATTCTTTCATTGCAGGACAGTGTCGGCTGGTTTGAAGAGCACGGGTACTCTTTCTACTGCTGCTGTACAATACAATTTACATTCATACGACGCCTTTCACGTCAGGATGTACCAAAGCACTCTGTTCCGCCTGGGAACCCGAGCTGGGGGTGGGAGCCGAGGGAGGCTGTGGGAGGGAATAGATGACCGGAAGCCCCGGTCAAAGAGGCAGATCTTGAGATAGACCTTAAACGAGTTGAGGAAGGAAGCAAGTCTCGAGAGACTGGGAGCAGAAAGGCTGAATGAAGATTGGCAGCTAACAATTTCAGCAAATTCTATTTGGGGGATTGTTGGCTAGGATACCAGGAGAAACTCCCTTTTCTTTTCGAGTCATGTAAAGGATCATTAACATCCACCTGAACAACAACAACAAAATTACATTTGTATAGCAGGACACACACACAGAATGCTGCCATGCGATAACCAACAGCCAACAAGGGTTCAGCACCACACAATGTTTGGGGCAGTCTTGGCTAAACACTCCAGTGCAGGGCTGGGAGATCACTGAGGATTATTATTATTACCACTGTTACTATTGCTGATGCTTCTGCGCACACATGGCAACAAAGAAAAGGTTAGCGCTGCACAAAGAGCATTGCCTACATAACCATCACTGATGCCTACAGTCCTGTGTGAGGTTTCCTTTTTATCATGAACAGTCCATTAACACCCCTTTCACAGTCTGTTAATGGTCCATTAGCTCCCTCTTCGTGCCTGTGATTTTTACAGTTTTAACTTTTTCCTTATGTCTTGGTTTCCCTGGCCTAGTCCTGTTTGTCCTTTACCCTATAAACAGCGTCTTTCCCAGGCCAAGAGTTTCAGTACAGATGACGGCTGAAGTAATGAATAGAGGAAGTAAAAGTACAAGGCAAAGAGGGAATCTCTGAAATAGATCTAGGGGTGATGGGATCACCTATAACAACTTGTATTTATATAGCGTCCTTCACGATGGACAGTGTCTCAGAGTGTTTAACAGTGGCGGAGCCGGATGCCGAGTCAGGGAGAGGGGGAAAGTGACAGTATGGATGGTCGAAGAGGAACAACAACAATAACAAGATTACAATTGTATAGCGTCTCTCACGTCGGGAGGACGTCCCAAGACGCTGCATTTCAGACCCAAGCTGGGGTTGGGGGGGGGGGGGGGAAGGTGAAGAGAGGTGGCCGACGGCATGGTCAAAGAGGAGGGTCTTGAGGTGGGACTTGAAGGAGGCTAAGGAGGGGGCAAAGCAGAGCGACTGGGGGATGGAATTCCAGAGATTGGGGGCAGAGTGGCTGAAGAGATGAGAGCCACACCACCGCCACGGAGATTAGGCTGTGGGGTTTGGTAAAAGGTGTAACCTGGAGGTGTGGGCCTCAACTAGTGGGAAGCTGAAAGGTCTTCAAGCGCACCTGAAAATAGGAAGAGAGGGGACGGCGAAGGGATTGAGGCAGAGAGTTCCACAGCTTCAGGGTGTAGTGGCTGAAATGCCCCTGGACAGTACATACCATCAGATCACTATTCCTTAATCAACGTTGAATCAAAACACTATCATGGAAGCACCATCGCCCCAAGGACTGCGAGAAAATGCCCCGTTACCACTTTTTCAGGGCGACCAATGTGACGGACAATAAACATTGGGACCTGCCAGCGGGGCCCACATCCCGAGTGAAGTACAAAAAATACAGGAAGGGTTTACTCCAGAGTGTTCACAGCAGCTGAATCAATACTCGAGTCACTGCCAGAATAAATTCTACAGTGTAAGGAGGGCTATGGTAGTCTGACAGGACATCGGGAATCACCTGACAAACTGTTAGCAGCTAAAGAAGCATTACCATCCACAGGGCAGCCTTCTCCCATATTGAAAACATCACAGTGTTGTTCAGCAAGCCTGAGTTTAAACTGTTTGAATCCTCTGTGAATCCTCTGTGGAAGAGCAGGTCACGGGGCGATTCTGAGTGATTGGCAAAATGCTGGGCTTTTTCCAACCCGCCGTTTGAATTAGCAGAGCCCACAGTTTGACCTTCGTGAAGCGAGAGCTTGCTTTGCTGCATGACAAAAGCTTAAAGTACCTGAGAACTCACTTTTAAAACAAAGTTAAGTTGATTTATTTTGGGGAGGGGAACAATGTGACAGGGAAAGAGAGGGGAAAAAGAGAGAAAGCAAAGAGAGGCACCAAATCCTCAGTGTTTGCTATTGCTGGAGTACTGTGCAAGCCAGATGTCTCACAGACTCAACAAGCCCGAGCAGCTTACATTGCAGTTAATGGGCTTCAAATGAGGAATTTGTAAACTGGAAGTCACTGCGCTTTTAGCAAAAGAAATTGCAGGATTCACTATAAATGATTAAAATACACCAAATAACGAGAATCTGCTTATAGGGGTTATTAGTAATAACTGGAACACCAATTTCTCCTCCTTGCACCCTCCTTCCCCTATTTTAGATCATGTCTGAAGAGCTTCCTCTTTGAGGTGCTTATGGTCACTACCTCCCTCCCCCGGCTTGGGGTCAGGCTCCGCCACTGTTAAGCGCTCCGAGATGCTGCACCGTGTGAAGGGCGCTGTGTAAATGCAAGTTGTTATTACACTGAAACTCTGATAACTAGCACCTGGGAGAAGTAATGAACCCCACATAACTAGTTACTCAATATCCAGGCTATTCGGGTATGTTGTATTTCGGGATACTGTACTTTGGATAACGAGTTAACTTTGATAATCATAACTTGTTGGTAAGTAAGTCATTTGAGTGATTTCCCTTGGGGTGATGAATTATCAGAGTTTGACTGTATTAATCATAATAATCCGTCTATTTCACATATCACCTTGCACCTCAAAGCGCTTCATAGGATTCACTGTAAAATGTAGTGACTATATCTTGCAGGCAAATGTGGCTGCCAATTTGCGCACAGTAATGTGCCATGAAGTGAACAGCCAGTTTTATTTGGGGGAATGTTGGCCTGAGCACTGAAAACAGTCTGACATCAACTTCAGTAACTTAGCTCTGAATTTGTCTCCACGTTTACTTCCAGCACTACAGCTAAAGTGTGACCGATACAACATTCATTTACAAAGCGAATCGGTTTCTCATACAGAATTCCAGTTTGAACTTCATTACTCAACACATGATGCTCACTTAACATTAGTTTCCTTCCACCTGACAGGGTAGCTTACCTCCAATGTTCTGCATTAATATAGTGCTGGCAACAAGAACCTGCAAAACAAATGGAACAGAGGCAGAGTTCAGCGGTCTCTGATATAATGCAGCAATCTTGGTTATCTGTCATGACCCCATTCCAACCAAGAACCTGATTGTCTCAATTATTGGGCCTGAGCCACCGATCAGCTTACTCAACCAGGCACAAAAAAGAAGCTAGTCTTTTGCATGTCTCAGTCTCTATTCGCCAGCCCTGGTACAGGTCTCTTACCACACTCTGTCAGAGTTGAATAGAGAAGGAGCTCCAGACTTTGCTGTGGTGTTAAATGAACCATGCAAATTTGGAGAGACGGGAAAGAGATACAGAGTTATCAGGTGGAGGAACAGCTCGGGGATTGGATTGTTATATTCACAAGCCTTCCTCCCTCCCCTATACCTCCCTGAATTCTGAACCAGTGAGGAGAGGAAAATATTTGGAGTTACAGAAGGAAAATTCCACTTTTACAGGCAATGGTTGAAATACTTTATAGTGGTTCATAAGGGTACAACAACAACTTGCATTTATATAACAATAATAAATAATAATCCTTGCATTTGATATGGCGCTTTTCACGTCTTCTAGACGTCTCAAAGCGCTTCACAGAATGTACTGTAAAGTGAATTAACTGTATAGCTCTGGGTCAAACGCAGCAGTCAATTACGCACAGCAGTGTCCCACAAACAGTCACGGATTGAAGGTGTAGCATCCTTCCCACAGGGTAGGGTCCCGGAGCATTCACAAGGGTACCTGACTTATTATCTTCATAGTGACAGAAAAAGAACACATCTATTGGCGAGCTTTTATGGGAGCCAAATAAACCAGATTCAATATGAGATGATTCACGTACCTTTCCAGTGGTCTTAAAGGCACAAAACCCAAGGTCTTCATAGGATTTCTGCTCTGGATACATAAGGGAAACATCAGGGATTGTTGAAAGCTAAGTTTCAGTTTTAATACCTAGTTATGAAATATCATTAATATGAACACGTTCCTTTCTTTTGCTGCTATCGTGCTAATTTATTGTAGCAAAGTCCAATTTATGATGTAATTTATAATCCAATAATGTATACATCCAATATATAAAACACAGCAGGCAGACATTGCCATTTGACATCTGACAAAGCGCAGGCTGGAGTCCTCATCAGGTATACTGTACTAACACAGGCTATTTGTCTTCTGACAATACAGAACACTATCCATTTTGCAGCAACGTTGCCTCTGTTAAAAAACATTACAAGACTTATTGAAGGCTGGTGTGCAGTCGGTAGGGCGAGTAAATGTGCAAGTCTTCAACTCACCAGTTTGTGTACACATGTCAAGCAGCAGGTGAACGGAGTATGCCGCCAGCGAGGCAACTATCAACAATAAGGCACTGCAGGAGGCAAAGTTCAGACAGTGTGCAAATTACACTTAAAAGCACATTAATGTAATACTGATAATCATCTCCCTTGTATATATAGGGAGTAAAACATCCATCAGGGGGTGGAATCCTGCCCCACCTTCAACCGCGAGTGATAATATATAATAATCCTTGATACAGCGCCTTGTCACCTCTCCGAAACGTCTCAAAGCGCTTCACAGAATACATTGTAAAGTGAACTGACTGTATATTTTCTGATGCAGAGTTAATGTTCCGTGATATCAATACGCATTGATGAGGAAAGAGCAGACAACATGCTGAGAATGGTTTGTTTGCAAATCAATAAGTATATTTCTATGGCTCTACAATGGCCCCAAACCAGACTGCTAAAGAACAGTGCACTAGACTGCACTAGCACCTCCCTCCCTGTCAACAAAGTAATGCACGTGCAAATAGCTCTAATGCACATGATTATGTAAATCTTATGCCCACGTCTGCAATGGAAANTTTTTTTATTTAAATAATTGGTTTGACAGTTTGTGTATTGGCAGGGGAAACAGGCAGAATCCGTGAGTTAAAGGGACAATCATTTCAATACCCAGACAATTGACTTTACAGTCTGTGAAGCGCTTTGAGACGTCTCGAAAACGTGATAAGGCGCTATACCAAATGCAAGAATTATAATTATTATTAACATTAAGACCTGAATTTAACTCAGTCCAAAACGCGTCTCTGCTGGCTGAGTTTGGATAGTCTGAACTTCATTTCCACTAGACATGGGACCAACAGCAAGAAGACAGCTCATAATTTAGCACAAATCGGCAATCTCAAGAGAAGTTATATGCTTGGCTAGTCCAGGAAGTGGAAAGACTCACAACAGTGCATAGGGGTATGATCCACAGGGCTGGGAGTTGAGCCATCTTTATTGTTAAACCATAGCCAAGTGGGGGGTGCTTGACAAGTGAAAATAGGGTTCTATTTCATACTAATGACATTGAGTTGACCACCCACCCAGAAAGCATTCAATAAAAGAAAAAAAAATTTTGCTACTAAAATAAAATTATCCTTGTATTTAACATTGCGCCTTATCCCACCATTGAAAAGTCTCAAAAAGCTTCATAGGTTTTACTGTAAAGTGTAGCGTAGTATTTGTAAATGAACCCGGCAACTATTTTGCCCACAGCAAAGTCCCACAAAACAGCCTTGAAATGAAATCCTGCCTTGCTCTTTCCAGACCTTTGAAAGCTCTGGAACTTCACCCTGGGTGAGGGGCGCTATATAAATGCAAATTGTTGCTGTTATTGTTATTGGGTCTGAAATGCTGTACTCTGTTCAGCGCTTTGGGACGTCCTTCCGACGTGAAAGGCGCTATACAAATTTAATCTTAATGTTGTTGTTGTTAATCCTTACAATTTTGGTTGTGTTTTTGAAAAAAAGTTTTTTTTAATGCTCAAAATCAAAGTCCCTTTCTGAAATATTTTCCACATTCTCTGGAACATTTTCCACTTATGTCAGCATTGAAAAAAATCCTATGCCTATTCTGCTAACAATGTTCCTTAAACTTCATTCCTGTTACACAGGTCGCCTTTAATACCCTGCCAACTATCTGCGACAGTGCGTCAATTAGTGGGACATTTTTGTTTTGTGAGTGGCATTGCATTTTTGCATCCTTGGAAAGGAATTACAAGTGCAAAGGAAAGCCCAAGGTCAGCTCATTATATGAAACTGAAATACAAATACATAGTGTTTTTCTCACCTGAATCCAATAATGCCTGTGTTGGCCATTGCATACGCTAAGCCGAGAATGCCACTTCCCATAATTGCATGCATCAAGTTGAACACAGAGGAACCAAAGGAGGCACCTGATGATCCATGATGCTGAGGCACCTTCAAAAATACAGATACATTACATTAGATAGGATCATTAGCATAGGCATGTGAAATTATGTAAGTCAATTCGCACAACTCATACAATCCGAACATGCGTTCTGTGCCTTTGATATTTATTAATTTTCAAAAGAACTGCAACTTGAAAACTACAAATAAAAATCTGTGTATTTGATACGGCATCTTTTACGTACAGTCGTACAGAGTGCACTATGGAATCAACACAACATACTTCAGCAGGGTTTCCTCGGGGAAAAAACAGGAAGTATTGGTCGCTATAATTTACTGGTTGGAGGGTGCAGGATGGAAATTAGGAGTACAAGGATTTGAGAAAACCAAAGAAAGATAATTAACTGTATTGTAAAAGATCAACTGATCTAGTAAATAATTAACTGTTACAACAGGAGTCAATAGATTTAATTAAGTATCTTTCACTTGCACTTATAGATTTAAGTGTAACCATTGCTCAAAATCCCTACCCATTTAAATAAAACCTAAGTTAATTAAGTTTTTTTGAATTTCACTCAGAAGTGATGTGCAACATCAGGTTATTGTATCAATACTCAGGTTCCTCGGGTTAAAACAATAAAGAATTTTAACAACATGGAGATCGGTCTACATTAAAGGGTTAACTCAGTTGTGAAAGAAATTCAATTGGAATCTCAACAAACTTTTTAAACTGGTTATACTTCGAGTTGGTGGTGAAAACGTGTATCCATGTACATGTTGTGTTACATTTGCAGTGCAAATGACTTGTGCAAGTCAACTTGCCTTCAGCAAAACTGTTCCCAGTAAATAGTGTAACTCTGTCAAAGCTCTCTGTTGGTATCAGTGTAACAGCAGACCCCAGGAGCTAATACGCATCATGTCAAAACTGAAATTGCCCTACTTTTTAAATCACATGTCACATCATGTTTTTTCTGCATGAGTCACTTCTGGATATACGTTATAAGCACCAACAGTGGTGGTTTCCATTGAAAAGCATATTCATCAGCAGTTTACAGAGGAAAAGGACTCAGAAGACTAAATTTGTCTACCGCACTTTGGGTTTATTGAGACAGACAGATTACATTGTGAATTAAACGTTAATTCCTTTCTCTTACTGCTCCATCCCGCTGATCCTTCTCTTTCCCTGGCTTTTGTCTCCAATGCTAGTCCACATTGTTCCAAATCCCAAACTTCCATGATAAATGACCATTTTCAGATCCATGAAGTAGGCAGAGCAGTAGAAGGAGTGAGAGCAGAAAGGAACTGCTATACAACAGCTGAGAGCGAGAAAGGAAAAGAGAGAGAAAATGCAGAGGACAATTATTAGCCCATAAACGAGGTACTCTGATATTCCACATTCTCACCTACAGCATTTGAGTGCTTAGCTTGAGTGACTCAAGAGTACAATTAAACTCGCTCTAATAGGGTTTCAGCAATGATTTATTGCTCTGATAAATGCTGGGTTATAATTACAGGTCCATTGATAATGGCAAAGCTGCCCTAAACAATAACGGAAATTAAACGCTTTGAGACGCTCCAACAACAACAACAACAAGATTACATTTGTATAGCGCCTTTCACGTCGGGAGGACGTCCCAAGGCGCTACCCTGAGTGGGAGGGCGCTATAAAAGTGCAAGCTGTCGTTACTGTTGCAAACGAGGCAGCCGGCTTTGAGGTGTCCACAGCCAAACTCCTTCAGTCACTTTTGTGTACCTCGTTCCAGTTGCCAGACAGACAGCCAGTGGCAACATTTTCTCCTGATAGCCACGAGCTAAATAACACTGGCAATAACTGAGAGCGGGTCAGAAGCAAAGTCATTTGGTACTTCAGGCACAGATTTTGTTCCTGTTGTTTAGGCATCGGTGGCATCACAGATCAGTCTGACCTCAGCATCCACAGGCATTCCTAGAAGTGGTTACCGGAGAAGCGATCAGAAGTAGAAAACCCGGCCAACGTTCCCGGCCCTAATAGCGAAAGTTAAAGTCAAGTTACGAATAGCTGGGAAAGAGCATTCGGAAAAAGACCCTCTCAGTACATTACTCCGTAGCCCCCCCCCCCTCCGGACGTACCCTATTCCTTTTAACATCCATCCATCCATCCATCCGCCTCCGCTTCCTAACGTTCAGCGCGGAGCGGCTGGACTGGGAGGTGGGGGGAAGGAGACAAATGCTGAGGCTCCGCAGCAAATCAAACCGCAGTAACGATGCTCCCGTCGGCCGCGGCGCCTGTGGCAGCTGCAGGCGCTCGGCTCAAAGCGCTCCACAGCATTGACCGTAAAAATAAAAAAAAAGGGGCAACTGCGCGTTTCGCCGGAAGGCCAATCGGCACTCAGCGACGGCCAACAAAACAGCCACGAGGAGAACCACCCACATTTCATCGTGGTCCGGGGACAGAAACTGCCCTACAATCTCAGCGGTGCATTGGGACATATATTATTATATATACGTATATATATATATATATTTTTTTAAAAAAATCTGCAACGTGCACTCACGTGTCCCAGGAGCACGAGAGACTGTTCGCCCTGTGGGCTGTCAGCACTGTCAGTGGGGGCACACGGCATGGCTCTGCCCCCCCTCCCCCCACACCCCCACCCCCAGGGGCTGCACCCACAGCCCAGAGCAGGGCCCCAACCGCCAGCCGACCGGGAGGGCGGCCACCAGAGGTGGTCACGAGGTCCACGCCCTTCCGCCCGGGTCACGTGAGCCGGCGGGCCCGCCCCCCCCGCAGCTTTGCCGTGACGCGACGCGTTGGAGCGCACGTTCCGGTGACGAATCGGCACGTTCCGGTGACGATCGGCACAGGCTCGCCGCCCCCTCCCTCCCCCCCGCTGGAAGCCGCCGCTATGAGGTGAGTTGCGAGTGAGTGGGACTGAGAGGAGGGAAACGTGCGGCCGCCGGTCCCACATCTCCTAGCAACCGCCGCCGGCGCCGCGCGCGCGCGCGCTCTCCCTCTCCCTCCCTCCCTCCTCTCCTCTCTGTGTCCGTTACCGGCTGTGTCTCTCGTGAACGCGACGGTGGCGCGGAGGAAAGGGATGAGGGGGAAGGTGCAGGGAGCCGGGCCCGGTTGTCCTGGGCCTCCCCCCCCCCCCCCCCCGCCCGCTGCTCCCGCCGCCACCGGGCAACAGCTCACTCAGGAGCGGGGGGTGAGGGGTGTCTGACACACGTGGAAACCCATCACCATTGCTTCAGAGTCTCCCAAACTAAAGCATTCCCAGGTTTCCCGCCTACGCATGGAAATCCCCGGAGATAAGGCTGTGCGGAATGGGATGCGCTCTCTCTCTCTCTCTCTCTCTCCCCATCCCCGGAGGGACTCATCTTAATAATAATAATAATAATCCTCGCATTTGATATAGCGCTTTTCACGTCGGGAGGACGTCCCAAAGCGCTTCACAGAACACACTGTAAAGTGAATTGACTGTATATTTGTGGGCGAACGCGGCAGCCAATTGCGCACAGCAATGTCCCACAAACAGTCGTAGATTGAAAATGACCAATTTATTATTGTTTTTGGTTTTGGAGGGATTATTATTAGGCTCTGTGTGGAGTAAGGAAACTTGCCCAAGGTTTCGCCCTCTGCCTGGAATTGAACTCAGGTCTCTCACTTGCAAAGCGAGTGCTCTAACCACTGAGCTACAGGACTCCACTAAGGCGCTCCCGAGACGCCGTCCGGCGTGAAGGGCGCTGAGACATAAGTGCGAGTTGTCGTTGTTGTTTAATAAACGCCGGGAGAGGCCACCCGAGCCTTTGTAACGACGCGAGTGGAGACCTCGCACCTTTCTAATGATCGCAGTTCCTTCAAAACCAGCTTCCAAATCCAATCCGCTTCAGAACGCAACCCGCCCTGTGAACCGCAGCGTTCAGAGTGATTCCGGTTGCTAATTTTTTTTTAAAAAAAAAACTCGTCATCTTCAAAGAACCAAAGTGTCACAAATCCCACAGTGTTCACAAAAAAAACATTTATCTTTCATTAATGCATAGCTGCTTATCGTATTCAAAAACAATACTGTACTTTTAGTAGAGCATAAGATACAGTCCGTTCACTTTACGGTGTATTCGGCGAAGCGGTTTGAGACGTCTCGGAAGACGTGATAAGGTGCTGTATCAAATGCAAGGATTATTAAGTATTATTATGCACTCAAAATGATAAAGTAATTTGGGTTTGGACGTCTACATAGTAGCATAGACCATTGGCCAAGGGACTTTTTTGTCTTCTGGAACTCAATTGGGATATTGCCTAGATCTGGAACCTTTCTGGATTACATCTCATGTATTGCTAATCTTACGGATTAATTTGTATGTAATATTTGTTTCATTTTGAACTAGGATTTTTGTCTCCCTCACTAAGATTTGGAGAAATATTGGGTTAAGTGCTTCTGCTAAGAAATTGACAACTGGGCAGCACCTTCAAAGCTTAACTGGGCAGTCTAGCTACTTGTCCATATTGTGCATTTCCAGCGATCATATCACTGAACTGATTACAATGCCAGCACATAAACCTGAAGAGGACACGGACCTTTACGCAGCGCCAGCTACAGTACGTGGCATGACTCAACTGAACAAGAATTCATTTAGGAAAAAATTGACTCTTCCAGCGCTCAAGGTGAAAACAGATGAAATAAACAAAGTCATGAAGTCTCTTAAAAATGTAGCCTTAAAGAGACCTGGGTTAAAGCGTGTAGTTGACCTTGGAGATGAAGCCTATAAGCTTATTTTATTGGACCCATTCAAAATATCAAGCTCAGATTCTTTTGATGCTTCACAGAAGATGATTTTAAAGAATTACAATATTGACGCTCAGATCCATAGATACGACTTAACAATGACATATGAAAATTTCAAGTCCGAAGAAATTCTAAAGGCAGTTTTACCTGAAGGGCAGGATGTAACCTCTGGATTTAGCAGAGTTGGGCATATAGTTCATATGAATCTTCGAGACCATCAACTTCCGTACAAGTATCTGATTGGTAAGTTTTTAATATCATTGCAACCCTGAGGTATTTTGTGTTTGTTATCGGTATTGTTTGGGCACATAGCAAAAATTACAGAGCAAGTAATAGAACAAGGGGGAGAATTAACAAAATTATTGCAAATAGTAAATAAATGTGTAAGCATATTAATTAGGATATTAATCTTAGGGCTCTTAGAGCAGGATACTGCTTTTTACATGTATACTGTATATATAATTCCACTTGTGCTGGTAAAATTAAGTTGCTTTATTTGTTTTTTGAAGAATATTTTTGAGAGAAAGTTAAATGGATCAAACCAATCGCCAACGGAACATAGCTGTATTAAATGACATGTCATATAGTTAAAAAATTTAAATTATAATAATTTTGTTTAGAAAATAGTTCTTCAAAGAATTTATGAATATCTTTCTTCATACGAGTATAACTGGCATTTTGTTTTGTCAAACTTTTGCTGATCAAATAATAGCATTTGTTACACATATTTAAGGTTTAAAATGGTTACATTTTTATAATTATATTTGCCAGTAAGTTGAAGTTAAGGAGACCAGTCACTCAGAACTAGCAAATGCTTCTAAATAAATATATAATCAGTAATATGTTACAACGCATTGAATAGATTTTTCTGAAAAGTTTTTTTTTTTTAAAAATTCCTATTGTCTTTTTTAGGACAGGTGATAATGGATAAGAATCCTGGAATAACATCCGTGGTTAATAAAACCAGTATGATTGACAATGCTTACCGTAACTTTCAGATGGAAGTACTAGCTGGGGAAGACAATATGATAGCAAAGGTAAGATTTTTTTTACAACTGTTTACTAATGCAGTCAACCATACCACAACAAAGTCTGTTGGTATAAACTTTTATGTGTATTATTATGTTTTGGTATTGATGTTATATAGTTTGTTTCTTTACAGGTCAAAGAAAATAACATTACCTATGAATTTGATTTTTCTAAAGTCTATTGGAATCCCAGGCTGGGTACAGAACACGACCGAATAGTTAATCTCCTAAAACCTGGAGACGTGGTGTATGATGTGTTTGCTGGAGTTGGACCTTTTGCTATTCCAGCAGCAAAGAAAAAATGCAAAGTCATTGCCAATGATCTGAACCCAGACTCTTACAAGTGGCTGGTGCACAACTGCAAGGTGAACAAAATCGACAAAAATGTAGAGATTTTCAACCTGGATGGTAGGGAATTTATCTTGGGACCACTTAAAGATAATTTGGTGAAACAGTATGAAGTGCTTTCATCCAAGGACACAACCTCCATTCATGTTATTATGAACTTGCCCGGTATGGCTGTCGAGTTCTTGGATGCTTTCAGACGACTGCTGAAGGACCAAAACCCAGTGAACATCTTACCCACGGTCCATTGCTATAGTTTTTCCAAGTCTGACAAACCTGCCTTGGACATTCAGCAAAGAGCAGAGAATTTCTTAGGAGCTTCGTTAGAGGGTCACTGCTCCATTCATCTGGTTCGGAATGTATCCCCAAATAAGGAAATGATGTGTATAAGTTTTAAGATTCCTGCTGAGGTGCTGTACAATGATTGTCCAGCAATGGAAGGTTAGTACTACATTTGTCAGAATCTTGAATGATTATGTGCTAGATTTCCTGCACGGCTTGTGGCATGCAATACATCATGTTTATCATTGCACAATAAGGTAGATTTCATAAGTTTGATTTACACTGGCACGCTATTGTTAACAACAGAAAATATTCTACTAAACCACTTGTTCTAAAGAGGAAACCAATACTATTGTTTTTTTTGCTGTACAAGATTTCTCTCTTGGATATGCTGAAATTACCACCTGTAAAAAGGGAGTTTTAAATTTTTATTAAACATTAAGACTGCGGCTAAATAATTATCCATAGAAATATGTCCTGGATATGCGCCAGCTACACGTTTATTATTTCTATAGTAATGGTAGATTTTACTTTGCTTTTACATCAATCTTCATCACAGGAGGGGAAAGTCATAAATTTACTTAGACTAGAATGAATTTTTTAAAAAAACTGAAAAATTATTGTCATATCAGCACATAATCAACTTAATAATAATAGAAGAGGGCTCCCATACAAAAGATAAAAATAAGCAAAATGATTTCAAAATTTTAATGATCATTTTGTATCAGTTTTTTTTAAACCAGAGATTTTGAGAAGCAAGATCTCAAATAGTTAATTTTTAAACTGATTCTCCCCCATTCAGTTATTTATCCTACTTTCTGCAATCAGAATGTGCCATAAGCTATTCCTAGGCATCCAGTCAATACTCGAAACTGTCCACTAGGAGGTATAGATGAGAACATATATGACTGTATTACATCCCTCTAATGACTTAGGTAAGATTGGGTATTTACTCTGGGGGGAGGGGGGGGTCATGGAGGAGAATATGAGTCATCTAAGGTAAACTAATGTGCATCTCGAACATTGACTGCAGCCAAAATCACAGATGGATATTCATCTGTTTCTAATGTGACTCGTTAAGTTTTATTGCTGTGATCATTCTTGGTTCGTCCACAATGGAGGGAAATTTGCATCATTAGAAATTACTGATTTATGCACGAGTAAAGATTTAAACATGCAAAGGATGTTGGGGAGAGGAGTTGATCTGCAGCAGAGTTCAGAATGATGGATTAATTAAAAAAAAAAATTGAGCATCTACAGCATTATTAAAAAATGACAGATTTGGAACAAATATAGCTGAATTATTTTGACCAAATCATTTCAATTGAAAGCAAGCTTGGTGTGGTAAGAATAAGTCACATACATGTTTTTGGCAACTTTGTATTTGGTGCAAACCTTCAACTGTCAATTGGTCTTCTTCCCAACGTGAACGGTGCTATATAATTGCGGTTTGTTGGGGTTATATTCTATAGTCATTGCAATAGTAAAGGTGCATGCACTATTTTATCAATTGTAATTGAATGATCTCAAGCAGTGGAAGCTTCACAGTTTTCATGCTTTTGTTTTCCTGGATGCACTGGAACAAGCGCTTAACAAACCCAAGTTAAAATGAATCTGTGTAACAAGGCAGGTACAGAATTCATGATGTCTAAGTTGATACTGTAACTTACTACTTAGGTTGGAGTGAGTTACCAGTGTTAAAACAAACACAATTTCAGCAGCGTAACATAGTTATTGTCTGTAATGACGGTACCGCAGTTCCCTGGTGCGGTACAAATGGTCTTAAAAATATAGAATTCCAAATGATAACCCAGTACTCGGGACAAAGGAATTAGCTCACATTCTGCTTAAGAAAGGTCAACGAAACGGGAATATTCTTGACAGTGTGTTACTGGAAAGTAACCAAATATGGAAATACAATCGTGGATATAAAGATCAAATATAAAAACAGCTTTCAGCTTTTTCTGCAAGTTTCAGTTTGGCTGCAGTTCAGAATCTTTTGTCATTAATACGCGATCTTGCTTTCATCTCTTCCAGACAGTGCTGAAGAACCAGCTCCAAAGCGTCTACGGCTAGATGAGATTAGTGCCTCCACAGGACCACAGTGACTTGTGATAAATGAGCAGTGTCATTTTTAGCCGCTAAGAAACAAAATACACTGCAATTTAATTACCAGCCAGTAAAACGAATCTCGGAATGTTTGCATCATTTCCTGGAATCCATTCTCCTGGTCATGATTTGCTTCTATAAACAGCCAGTGATTTGTTATAATGGGTAATGAAACCCTCTCAAGGGCTCACTTTTCTTGCTCACTAGGATAGTTTTTCCACTGTGAATATTGAATTCTATCATGTTAATAAGTAACTAATGGTAAATCCTGACTCCAGCAACATGCATTACAAGGACAAATAAAAAATCTCATTTTTAAAACAAAAATTGCATTTGTATTTTTCATTACAGTTTTTGGAACACTTTCAAAACATAATTAACATTGAAATAGTCTGAGTTATGTTCTGCATAGCACAGTGATTTTCAAATCGCTTTAAGAATAGATGGCTTGGGTCCAACTGCTGTAAAATAGGAAAATAAATTGCATTTGTCATAGAGATTTTCTTCGGCTACAGCATACGGTGATTAGGGTTCAGTTTACAAGCGGACTGAAACAATTTGTATTTCATTGCAAGAATGTATTGTTATTCATCATACTAAAAATTACATTTCATTTTATTACTTTTTTAAATCTCGTGAAGTCAAACCTCCTAAGTTGGTTAGGCATGATATTCTGGCTGTTTAGGTAGCTATTTTACATTTATGATGCACTGGATATTTGCTTCAGCTGGAGGTAGCTCAGTAACAGCAATAACAAAATTACATTTGTATAACGCCTTTCACGTCGGGAGGACGTCCCAAAGCGCTAATAATAATGACCATATCTGGCGTTTTCCATGACCAAACTAAAGTTTTGTTTTAATATGTTCTGTAAGTAAGTTAAAGATATCAGGTGAGAGTAGGATACTGGATAATTCCAAGTCTTGTTTGCAGGACTCGTACAGATGTTTTGCCCCACAGCTGCCTCGTCTAAAATGATGAAAAATATCCATCCTTTATTTAGTTTGTAAAGTCAATCTCCCAGTGGCTTAGTTGGTAAAGACATTAGCTAAAACCATCAGAGACCAACAAAATATTATTTCCTGATCTGCTAAATTAGCTAATGTCAGCCAGAACTGCAGAAGGGATGCACAATGTATATCCTCAGTGTCATTGGTCTAGTGAACTCTGCTGTAAATTGTAAGTGTGTTTGTGTGAATGTCAAATGAGGATCAGGTTTAATAGTGAAAACCTTAGGAAAATAGGATTAGAAGTTGGCCATTCAGCCCATCAAGCCTGCTCCACCATTTTATTGATTCATGGCAGCTGATTCTTTCTAATTCTATTTTCTCCATGATCTGATGATTCTTCCTTCCCAAATATCTATCGCTCCCTCTTAAATACCTCAAACGATTCTGCATCCCTGGCTTAGGTACGTTTAGCTCTTTGTCTCGTGGCAATCAAGGTGAGCATCATCAATGCTAAGAAATCAAATGCATTGCAGGTGTTTGTATCCAGTGTAGCACAGATTGGCTGCTTTACTTCGCAGGGTTTAAAATTGCATCTTAACCTCCAAAATCAGAAAATCACCACTTACTGCACCACTGCTGTAACCGCAGAAGATCACAGTGCTAAGAGTATGCATCGATACTCAGCTGGTATGAGGCTGTGCTTCCTTGGGATTGGATAGCTTCCAAACTGGTCCAAGTACCTGATTCTGTTAAATAAAGTGGAAGTGCTTCAGGGCACACACAACTCTTCCCCACAATACATCATCACCTCTGGCCTAGCAGCTGAGAACAAAGTTTCAGTCATGTATTAAAGGTGAGGATTCTATATACAGGATAACGGAGACTATCTCTGGATGAGAAACTAAGTAAGAGATGTTGTAATTTTGAAGTGGACAGGCAAAAAATGCAATGTAACACTGATGATTAAATGAAAAGGCAGAACAACACCAGATGAAGTTTAACGTTGCAAAGATTGAAATATTACACTTCAGACAAAAGAATAATGGTTGGTAGTATTCTCTAATTGGGGAAGCACTAGGATGTGAAATCCCAAAGTTCTCATATCATATGAAGCAGAGAGCTAGATCATTAAAATCCAGTTTGTGCAGAAAACAATCATAAATACAAAATGATTATGGGCTTTTATTATAAAAGATCTGGAATATAAAAGGTCAAGCTGGGTTTATATAGAATACTGGCCAGACATCGTTTGGAGTTGAGTTTTGGACACTCAATCTTAGAAAGGATATACTTAGAGGGTGTTTACCTCACTCGGGAGAGTACGTTGAAAATAAACTACTTTCCTTTGGACTTTTAAGAATACCAAGTATCTTTACTGAATATACATGGTAACTGTTGTATGTTTATTATGGTATCTATTGGGATAATATCAATGATACAAACTTTCTTGTGTTAAAAATGCATCTCAGACATTTGTGAAAAAAACTAAATCTGGATGTTGTACACAGCTGTTTCAAACATTTCTCAAACTCAAGGCAAGTCAGTACTGTATTAGGATGCGGGAAATGTAAGTTAATTCATTCAAATCTAATCAAAACAACTCCTTTTCAATTACTCTAAGTACAATTTCAGCAAGTTATGTTTGGTTAATTAATGTTGAAATGGGTTGGTAAATAGTAACTCCCAGAGTTGCAGCATAGAAGTATATAATAACGACATTAGAACTTTGGGATTTCACAGCACCACTTATGTATTTAGAATTACCTTTTAACTTATATTAAGATTGAAGTGATTAATGGAGCTCAGGATTTAAAAAGGAACCAAGGAATTTTAATCAAAATAAATGAAAACTGTTACAGTTGATTGGACAAGCAAAGGGACTGCATATCTTTGTACAGGTCACTCCCATGAACACTAGGAATGCTATCATCTTGGACTGTTGTTGTGTGAAACACTTGTGCTTCCTCAACCTTGAGTTCTCAGATGTCAAACACTCTTATCAAGTGGTGCTTACACATTTGTGACCAACAGTGTTTAGCCTGCGCCTCCTTCTTCCTGTAAGAGGATCTTGACACACTCCTTTTAAATAGAAAATGCTAATCTTTTTCAGTTTAATACAGCTGCTGTCTCCTAACAGCTGTCCAAGTTTAAGTTCTTTGGCTGTGTGTCAGTTTTCCATTCAACAGTGGCGTTGCTGACAGTTGGTTTTATAGAAATCTGGCTGTCAAAGCTACTGGTATCAATCCAATAGCTATCATGAAGCCTTCTCTCTTAGTTAGGAAAAATGGCTAACTGGGCTGCCAGAAGAGACCACTAAATGCATCTTGTAGCGCACGGTAACATGCAAGTGAAGAAGAGTAGCCTCCAGCAAGATCTTGCGGTGTAGCAGCACGTACATGGTTCAGGTACCTTAAAGAAAGCAGAATTGACAAAGTGAAACTCTTGTATGGTTATATGGTCACATTAAAGAACTCAGTGTAAAGCATTTGGGCAAGAGTAAATGCATTTCAAATAAAAGCTGCTTATAATCGAACAAATTCCCATAATAGCTGTACTGGTACTAAATCCTGTACAAATTGGAATTCAGGAAAACATTTTATTTACTGATACTAGATTTGCAAAACAATAATTAATTTGGCTGCAACAAGAATAATCCATATACATCAGTCTTCCTGGTTTCAAATTAAATCCATTAAAAGAGAAATGGTAGACAAAGGGAATAAGCAACTTTATTCAAATTGAATGAATTGTAATCTCACACAGGTTTATCTAAACTTCCGTTTGCGATTCATTCAATAGGTGGTTCAATCACAAAGGCGACTCAAGTCTAAATCTATTTCTGTCTATCCATGTTGAGTTAACTGGTATATGTTAGCTTGCAGAACTTGGAAATAATTATGTACACATTAATTATTTAATAACAGCAGTGAACCTTTGTGCAATTCATCATCAATTGACAAAATTTTGAGTAACAACAGGTTCCAGTTAAAGCTCAACAAGAGAATAGAACATTTGATCAAATACTAATTAATTCCCCATGCATTCCACAATATCTGCTTGAAGGCACTAATCAGATAAAGGGAACATTTACTTGGTGGTATTCCAAGGAGGAGGCCTCAACTCTACAGGGTTCTGGCACATCTGTGTGTGGTAACTTTGGGAAGGATGTCAGTTGAGTGTTTGGTTAGTTTTGCAATCCTCAATTCATGGTGTACATGCATTGCAGATTGTCAGTCCATCTGAGAAACGATCAACAGCTGTAACTATAGCAAAATATAAAGGCCACCGGGACTTTAGTGGAAAAAATGTGAACTTTCGTGTAAATGAATTATAATCTGATATTAATCATCAGAGTTTGTAAGCGTAAGGTCTAGCTTGTCAGTCTTATGTTTACAAACTTGTTAATAAATATATTTAGGAACTTTAGAAAGGCCTAAAATATTAAAAAAATGTATGTCAAAAGCATATTTTGAAACACAAAGCTTCAGTAAACACAGCAATTTCCCCAGACTGATTCATACCTAAACAGATATTTCTCACAATTGAATCAATTTATACGATTATTCCACAAAAAATGCGGTCATCAATTATATCGGATCCTACTTTAAGATAAATTGGTTTTGTTTATAAAAGCATCGCCTATAGTGAAATGGAGCTATGTAGAGCAGAATAGCCTTTGGTTGAATCACATTCTCTGCTGAGTTAGCTGATCTCATGTGGAACAGCAACAAGAACACAATTGCCCTCAGGACCCGGAGTCAAGGAAGGGAGACAAGAAACCTCCCTCAGGATTCCCACTGTTGATTTTTATCTAAGGACCGCTGCTGGAGAGTACTTGTATGTGGATGTCAGGTGAGGGCAGAGTTGGGCTCGGTAATGATACTTCTTCCTCCCTCTCGGTCCCTCTCTCTGAAGGATAGTCAACTATCCTTCTGGCACTCAATGTCTAAGCTCTCATATGAATACTCACTTGGGTGAGGTATCATAGTACATATAGGTATGAGGAAACAGATTTCAGAATACGTCAGGCTAATTGCTCTGCCCAGTAAGATGCAGAATGTGGTAACTAGTAAAATTCAATAAAGTTGCAAATTGTAAATGACAATAATTTCACTGCAACGTCAACTGGTCTGTCTAGATTTCTACGACAGTATTTTCTAAATTTTTATTGTACAATTCACAGCTTAGCACATCTGTATTGGGATGAGGTCCGGTTTTCCACTGTTGATCTTTATTTTTAATATAAAAAGCACTGTTGGATAGCTTCCAGGAGTTCAAATAAACGTTCCCAAGGTTTCCTAAAAGCACTAAATGCAAAATAAGGGACTAATAAAAATGTTTTAAGTTATTTTCTTAAGTATTCCCAAGCAATGAACTGGAACTGAACACATGAAGCAATCTTAAAACTGTTTCAAGTGGATTTAGGGTAATAAAGATGCTCAGCACTTCGGTTTACAATGTTCACGGGATGGATGAAAATCAAGTCACCATATTAGGTCCTCACAAGAGGAGACATCAACATTTTATATGAACCTCTAGTAATTACACACCTCTTTAGCTCCCATATGAAACTAGTATTTCCAACATCTTAAGATTCCTTAAGTAATTAAATTAAAGTAATTAAATAACTGCTGTGTTATTCAGGCTTTTGTGGCCCTATTCAGCACTTGGAGGGGGGAAAAAAAAGCAGATATGAAGACCAGTACTTCCTGGCGGTAGAGAGCAGACAATTATTATTATGAAGGTGTACATGATAACAGGAAACACTGTTTGCCAAGGATGCTTCCAGAAGCCAAAATCAGTAGGAGCCGGAACCTCTAACTAAGCTCTTTTGGCTGAACATCAGATTCAAACACACTGTGTCCATTCTTTTTATTAACCAACCGAACTATAAGTATTTACAGATGTTATCAGCAGAAATAGCAGGAGCATTCATTTCTATGTTCAGTTCTTCCCAATGTGTTGTTACAATCTTTAGCACAAGCGCATCAAAGCTGTAGAACTGGACTAATTCAACATTCTAATTTGCTAATTTCATCAGGAAGGGAAGGAACAGGATTTTGTCCAGGGGAAGGGGACATTAGGTTAGAGGTTTCAACTATTTTTGTAATTCTGTCATCAATGATTAGTTCCCTTCCTGTCGTATTTAGAGGGCAGCATTCTTGAACCTGTGTAAACTTTGACTCGTCTTTCAACATATCTCATCAGATCATTGGCTATAAATTCCAAATCACTGAATTTACTTGGCACTTGGCGTATTAACATCCCGTTAAGTACGTACGTGCATGCGTTCATTTTTCGTGCAAATTTCAATTCATTATATACACGGCAACTTTCTAAAAATAGACTTACACGATTGCTGCTGGTAACATTACTCCAGTGTTCATCTCGGGACCGGGGGCTGTGAAACATTCATCAATTTAAAAATAAAAATACGCTATCGAAGAATTTCCAGGTAATAAACTGCAGATGGTTTCTCGATAAATCCGCTGTATGATGCCATAATTGTTAATCCCCTTCTGTGAAGGTCGACACGCCGGACGGAAGGTCATGAAATGCAACGACAGTTGCTGTCTGCATTGAGAGCCAATGTCAGGACAGGGGTGGGGAAAAAAACACCTAAGCAAAATAATATCCAACAGCATTACGGAATTCAAACTGCAAATGGCACAAAGATCAGCAGATATAGTAAGGAGCTATACACTACAAGTAGATTTGGGGGTTCAAAATAACTGCTGCAACCAATTCTCACAATTTATAATATTAGTTCTGCCCCTCAACTGCTTTATAATGCCACAAGCCAACATGATTTCTGTCCCCAGGGTTCACATAAATCGCTCGCAGTAGTGGGGTGGGGTGCGGGGAGGGGGTAGGGTTAGGTCACTAAACAGCAATCAGGAGCAGAAATCCAAACCTCACTAACACAAGAGCTGAGGTCAACTAGAGTGCCCCTTACAGATCAGCTAACTCAATTCAAGTCAGGTTTGAAACTTGGGACCTTCGCAGTCTGTATGGTTTAGCAATACACTGAATACAGTCACTGAGCCATGGGGATACCCTAGTTATTTTTGATGGTGAGATCACAAATCTACCCATCCTAGATACTATTTATAGTCACTAGGTATCACTTTGGCTCAAGAGGAGAACTCTCGCCTCCGTGTCAGAAATGTTGTGGGTTCCAATCCTATGTTAGAACTTGAATTCCTAGTCTAAGTTGATGGTTTATTGCAGGGCTGGGGAGGGTAACCACATTGTCAGAAGTGCTGCCTTTCAGTTGAGGCATGAAGATAAGTTCCTGTCTACCTGTTGGGCTTTAAAAATCGCATGACGACTCAAAAAGAGAAGGGAGTTTGTCCCTCCAGATTAATTGGTCATTCACTTCATGATGACTGCAAAATGCCTGCCGTGTTTCTCTGCAAAAACAGTTGTTACACTCGAGAGTAATCCTTTGAGGTGGCCTTTCAAAAACTATAAAATGGTAAGGCTCGACCTATAAAATGTTAAATTCAAATATTTGCAAATGAGTTATCATCTTCATCCTCAATGCTCACTGAAAGTCCTCAAGGATAGTGTTGGATTCAGAGACTGAGAATGTTTCCAAGTCCTGATGTCCACAGTAAGGCTGGATTTTTAACAACATATTAAACAAATACCTGCTGGGATCCTGCAAATAGAACACTGCAACTTTCAAGGCAGGTCCTATTCACAGATTCTAGCCACAATGACCTCTGAGACCTTGTTGCTATATATATTGCAATCTTGGCTATACTTTTTTAATTAAAAAAACTGTCGGACAGACAGCTGGAGAAATAATCCAGTGTTTAGAACTCCTGCAAATAAATGTTGCTAATAATTTTTTTGAAGACAGTAAATAGCACACTTGATAAAGAGGATTAGGACTGAATTTTATGAGATCAGGACACCTGCCCTGTCATTTGTAATCCTGCTTGTGTCAATATTTCAGCTGCCTGCCTCATCATCACCCTCTGCCTTACAAAGAAAAACAGCAAGTGTACTCCAAGCTGTGCTTCCATTTCCAGTTTTCAACTGCTACATAAACTGCGACAATAATTTATCAGTCAACAATTCATTTGTTGAACTTGCAGAACGAATCATGGCATTAACACGACCATCAACCGTGAAAAGAGGAATCTGATGATTGCAGGGTTTCCTGACTGAACTCAGTTTAAATGAGACCTGAGGGTAAGTTACTAACAGCAGATACGACACGTGAGGTGCTCTGCAACACAGTGTATTCCTGACATGTAAATAAACGGTCTACTTAAACATTTACATTGAGAATGGGCATGACAATTAATTACTGCTGAAATATTTGTGCTTTTGCCAAAATTTTTGTTTAAAAGGCCAACAAGATTGGCAATGTTGACGTGACCAATACCTTTCTAAAA